AGGCGCGTGAAGATGCTCTCGCCCTCCCTCCCACCCTGTCGCCTCCGCCGCTCTTGCCTCCGCCGCCGGCGCCTCTGTCGGCAGCGGCCGGAGCGAATGGCCTGCTGCGAGCTGCGCCGCCGCGCGTGTCTTGGAGAGCGGCAGCGCCTCCTGCCCGTGCCGCTGCCCTCTCCTCCCCGGGGGCAGCGGAGCTGTCTTGCGGAGAAGCGCCACAAAGAAGGCGCCCGTGTCGGCGAGGTGGGGCAGGAAGCGCATGCAGCGCTCGAGCGGCGGCGCCCCGTCTGCCGCCGCGCCAGCGGGGTTGCACGGGTCAGCAGGGGGGGCGTGCGCCCCGGTGTCGGCGGGGCGCACGAGGCAGGGAGGACGAGGGGGGCGTGGGCGACGCGCCTCCTCCTTTCGGCGGGAACATGCCGGCGCGGAAGCGGCGGCGGACGGTGAGCGGCTCCGACGAGAGCGAGGCGAGGGAGGGCACGCGGCGCATCGCGTCGTCGATGACCTGCCAGTTTCTCAGGCCGGGCGCCCGAGGCAGCTCCGGCAGCTGGCCGCTCGCGTCGACGAGCTCGAGCGCGCCGCGCGCCGCGCGCAGTAAGCTCGCAACCACCGCCTCGTCCTATTCCACTCGCGTCGTCGTGACCTTTCTGACTCGTGTCCTCGCCGTCCCCACACCACGCCCCTGCCTCGAGCGGGGAGAGGGAGCAAGTCGAGTAGCAGAGCAGGCCGCCCACCCGGACGAGCGCCTGCGGGGACAGCCGCAGGGGCACGTCACGCCCATGCAATCCGAGACGCCCGAGCCGCCAGCGCGGACGAGCGCCGCCGCGCGCAGTGCGATCTGCAGCTGGAGCGAGTGGAGGCGCAGCGAGAGGCCTGGCCGCCACGAGGCCCACAGCGCCGGCTCCTTGCGCAGCGTGCCATCGCCGGAGCAAGGCACGTCGCACAAGACGCGGTCGTACTCCTCGCCAGCCCTCGGGAGGGTCTGGCCGCGGTGCGTCACGACGACGGCGTTCAGCCCGGCGCCGAGCGAGCGGAGCCGGTGCGCCAGCACGTACGCGCGCAGCGGCTCCGCGTCGTTCGCGACGACGACGCCGCCCTCCGCGCCGTGCGAGACCATCTCGAGCAGCTGCGTCGTCTTCGAGCCTGGCGCGGCGCAGACGTCGAGCACGCGGTGCGAGGCCTGCACGCCGAGAAGCAGCGCCGGCACCATGCTCACCACCTCCTGCCGCATCACCAGCCCACAGCCCGACGCACGCAGTAGCCACGCCTGCAGAGCGGCGGCCGCGCCGCTCGCTTGCGCCTCGCTTCGCAGCTCGAGCCGGGAGAGTGGCAGCTGGTACCCGTGGCACCAAGGCAGGGCGCGCCCTTGCCGCCCACTCGACTCCTCGAAGGCGCGGATCAGCTGCTGTCCCTCGGCCCAGCACGCCTCACTCGCCGCCGAACGGCTCGGCAGCCCGCACCGACGAAATGTGATAGGGAGCGGAGAGCGCATGGACTGCCCGAAGGCCTGCCAGTCGGCCGCCGACGAGAGCAGCTTCTGGCGCGCGTAGTACTCGCGGAAGAGAGCTCGGCCGGCGGGAAGCTCTGAAGGCTCCTCAGACGGAGGTTCGGGCGGCGTAGCTGCTGCGGCCGCAGCCGTCCGCGACCGCACTCGGCGGCCTGCGCGGCGGTTGAGCACGCGCTTGCGTCCCATGTCTAGCTCGGGCGACACGGCGGAGGAGCGCGGGAGCCTCTCTCCAGGCGTGTGTACTTCTTGCTTGGTGTAGCTGTGTTAGCGCCAGTCCTGTGCCTACTCGAGTAGTGTCGAGCGACGGAGTTTCTCGTAAAATTCTTCAAAAACCCGGCCGGCCCCTGCCCTGCCCCTACCTACCTACCTACCTGCCTACCCACTTATGGGAAACTAAAAAACAAATTACCGGACTGGTTAAGGTGGGGAACCATACGAACTAAAGTGATGGTTGGTGGTACTCTCCTGCCTGCAACCACAGTCCTTCCTGTGACATGGCAGGCCACTCTCAAGCCCTACACGCACCAGATCACCCATTTGGGGAGGGTTGACATCGTGATTAGGCGGAAAATTATTTTTCTGCTGGGAAAATTCCAGCGTGAAGAGAGCAGAGAGGGGAAAACCCGACGGGAGGGCCCACAGACCTACCCTACCTACCCCGGCATGACTGCCGCCCAAGCAAGAAGTACACACACACCTGCTCTCTCGGATTTTTTCTGGCGAGAAGAGTTCAAGATCAAAATCTCTCTCTCTCTCTCTCAACAAAGCTCAAAGGTCAAAGCTCCCTCGCACGACACTGGGCACGGGACTGGCGAGAAAAGAATTGGATTGATCCGCGGAGAAAAAGAATTTTACAAGAAAGCTCCCTCGCACGACAACGGGACCGGCCCCAGCTTCGGCTGAGCCTGAGGGCTGACAAGCTGCCGAGCCCAAATTTTCACTGTGAGAGTCGTGATTTCTTGTTGGTTTTCAAAAATCTCTCTCTGGGCACGGCACTGGCGCGCACTGGCACTAATTCTGCCAGGAAAGAAGAAGAGGGCGCACCGAGGATCCTACCCGGGTATCTGAATCTAGCTCTGCACGGCAAAGAAATGGGTCCTATCTGTATCGAACCTCGCCCATGGTCACGCCCAGGCGCTCCTCGTCGTCGCACGCCGGCGCGGCCAGCGCGCACGCACGCTCCACACGGAGCTCCACGCACACCTGCCCCCACCGGGTCCGGCGCGCCACGAGCGCCTGGAGGAGAGCGCTCGCGGCGACGTTGCCGCCGTCGGCGTCGCCGGCGGCAGTGCGGACTACTCCGGAGCGGCGGCACCGGACCAGCAGCCACCAGGACAGAGTGACGGTGACCACGCGCCCGCGAGCGCCCTGCCCGCGCTCTTCGCCGCTGAGGACGAGCATCTGCCTGCGCGGCGAAGCGAGGGCGTGGGCGAGAGCGTTGAGGTGCTCGGTGCGCGAGAACGAGAAGTAGCCCCAGTAGTAGCTGTCGGAGCGCTGCTGCACCTCTGGGAAGCCGACCGCGACCGGCATGGTCACACGCCCCGTCTGCTCGTGCACGCGCAGCTGGGCCGACATCGCGCGGTGGAGGGTCAGTCGCTCCGCGTACAAACACGGATGCCGCTCCGCCAGCCGCGCCGCCTCCGTCTCGTCGACCTCGATCGCCCCTCGCGAGAGGCGGGCCAGGGCAGGCGCGCGGCAGAGCGGGCAGGTTGGGTTATCCGACTTTTGCTGGGCCATCCACTGAGCGATGCATGGCTTGCAGAAGCGGTGCTCGCACTCGCTGTCGGCGATGGCCGGCCAACGCGAGGGCTCGCATAGCAACGAGCAGCAGATGGCACACTCATCCTCGTCCGGCATGCACTCATCCGTCACCGCACGTGCGGCTTGGAGCTGCTGCTTCCACGCGCGCACGCGCGACTGGATCTTGAGGCAGGCGAGGACCTGGTCGCGTGTGCCCAGTAGCGCCGTCGAGAGGTCGCTGAGCGATGGTGCGGAGCGAAACACGCAACGCCGCTTGGTCTGATGACTCTCGGCGCAGCAGGCCGGGTCGAGTGAAGCACAGCGCTCGGATGTGCGACCGGAGAGGCGGGTGGCCGTCTGTGGCGTGAAGTTCTCGTTCATTCGCTCGCGGACAGCGTGTCAGGAGGACAAGCCCTTGACAACCAGGACAACCAAAAGCGAGCGCTGAAAAAGAATTTTGGGTGGTGTGCGAAAAAGAATTTCTATAAGAACACACTGGCACGACAAAGAAGAATTTGCCGCACAATTCACACAACAGGCAAAGCGCGGACGACGACTCTAAAAACGACGGC